AACAAGTTACAAAATTACAAATTGCAATTTACAAATTGCAATATACCTGTCCATCAAGAGCAGCAATGGCATCGTTCATGTCTGACTCACTTGCCATTGTTATAAAACCAAACCCACGTGATTTTCCACTTTCACGATCATAAATCACCCTTGCATCGACCACTTTCCCATGTTCATTAAACGCCTGCTCCAGACGTTCACTATCCACCTGCCATGCTAGGTTACCCACGTAGATCTTGAAAGAAGTCCCTACCACTCGTCTTTCTGGTTGTGAACCTCTTGGTGCAGCCTTATTTACAGTAAGAGCCCTTCCACTCAAATCCTGTTTTTGTTCATAACAATATTACAGATTAATGTGAATATGTAGTAATTAAGATGGATGGATGGAGAAGAAGATAAAGGTTACATAGCCATTGAACTTCTCCACAGCTTTCTCAGCTTCTTCTACTGTGCTCATTGTCACAAACCCAAATCCTCTACTTTGTTCTGTATCCCTGTTGTATATAACCTAAAACCACACATCAAAGCGACCACTGTAAACACATGATGCAACATACGGAATTAATTAACAAATTACTGAAAAGTAAGGGGTTCAATCGATTAACACCTCGGCAATATCTACTACTCCGGCAGAATTAAAGAGATTAGCCAATTTCTCGCTGTCAAAATCGTAGGGTAAGTTACCGACAAAAAGCTTTGCCTCTTCAGGTGGTTCTGAATATGATTCTTCTTCCTCTTCTCCTTCTTCGTTAGTTGCATCTTCTTCGTCTACTGGTTCAGTTTCTTGTGTCAGTTGTTGTGACAAATCTGAGGTGTGGGTCACGAATTGGAGTGATTTGGAAGGTGAAATGGTGGTTTTGTGAGAAATCCATGATGAAATTCGAGAGACGTTTATGGTTTTGAAGGGTTTAGGATATGAATTTGACCCTAATGGGGTGGAAATGGAAGTGTATGTAGGTCTAAGCAACTGGAATGACATAAATGTTGTAGCGGAAGTCATAACAAGAAGGGGGAGGAGATGTAGGAAGATAAGAGTCGGAAATGGAAGAAGAGGCAAGGCCAAAGATTATTGCAAGGAACACTGCCACTGGGTAGATAGATATTTTTATTTTTCTGGGAGATTCTTTGTAGTGTTAACTTTGCCCCTTCTGTATCAAATCTATCTCTTTTGGTCCCTGGAGTTCAAATAAACTATGATTTTGGAAAACATTCAATTTGCTCAAATTTGAAGCATTGCAATTTGCATGTATATGTTTCCTTCAGATTTGGATACAATATTACTGTTTTTTTCTCTTTATATATATATATATATATATATATATATATATATATATATATATATATATATATATATATATATATATATATATATATATATAGGGAAGATCCCCGCTTTGTGGGGTTGGATAAGCCTAAGAGATTGACAAAACAGGAAGATTTATTAAGTCACATTATTTGTGCACGTCTGATACATCCATTTCCTCCTTCTATAGAGTAAAGAATTACAATAAGGGTAAATGATACAAAAAACATTTTTTTTACACAAAAATTCGATTTTGACACTGTGTTTTTTTGTATGTCAATTTTGACACTGTGTTTTTCAATTTGTTACAATTCTGACCACTTGACCGGTTAACCAGGTTACATGCTGACGTGGCATGATGACGTGTCAGTTTTGATGATGTGACATGCTGACATTATATGCTGACGTGTCAAAATTGAATTTTTTTTCTCACAAAAAACACTAATTAAGTTTTTATTTTTTTTTTCGATTTTGACACTAAGTTTAATTTTTTCTTTCAACTTTGACACTACGTTTTTTGTTCCAAATCGAACATCATTTTTTTCCAATTTTATTCAATGTTGACAATTTTCTATTTGAAACCGTATAATTTTTTTTAATACATTTAAACCGTATAAATATGTTTTTTTTTTTAATTTAAAAACCATAGTTTTGTATAAATACATTTTTTTTACACTCAAACCATATTTTTATATATAAATATGTATTAGTTATATAAAAATTGTATTTTATATTAAATATGCAACTTTAAAATGTGTTTGAAGGTTTGGAGGCGTGTAGTCGATCAAAACTCAGATATCAAGTTTGCAACCCATTAAATTTTTACATCTTATTAGAACCTTATGGGTAGTGTGATTCTCATGATATAACTAATGCTTTGAATGTATGAAAAAAAAAACATTGTATTTAAATAAAAATGTGGGGTTTAAATGAAAAAAATATGTTTATACGGTTTAAAATGTAATAAAAAAATATATTTATACAATTTTAAATAGAAAATAGACAAAATTGAACAAAATTTGATAAAAGATGTTTGATTGGAACAAAAAAAACATAATGTCAAAATTGAAATAAAAATTTTAACTTAGTATCAAAATCGAAAAAAAGTGAAAACTTAGTGTTTTTTATGGAAAAAAATCAATTTTGACACGTCAGCATATCTGTCAGCATGCCACGTCATCAAAACTGACACATCATCATGCCACGTCAGCATGTAACCTGGTTAACCGGTCAAGTGGTCAGAATTATAATAAATTGGAAACACAGTGTCAAAATTGACACAAAAAAAAACACGGTGTCAAAATCGAATTTCTATGTAAAAAAAGTGTTTTTTGTGCCATTTACCCTTACAATAATATCCAAAAAAAGAACACATTTTCCTTCTTCATAATTGGTCATAATCCATAATCTGTGAAAAACATAGACTTCCCTTAACGCCTCCAAAATGAGTAAACTAAATGCAGACTTTTTAACATTTTGCTCCAACTGCTCTTTCCTTCTATTTGCCCAGTCTTCATTGTTTTTTCCTCTTCTTAAATTCAATTTAAATGGAAATATACTTACCTTTTCTACCAACTACCAACACCACTTCCTGCCAAAAAAAATCTTGAATCATCGAGGGGTAAATTAGTAAATATGTAACTGATTTTTAGAAAGTAATAATGAGAAAAGACGGGATTCCCAGACTTTCTCCATTAAGTTTAAGTCTTTATTATCGTATTAAGCAAAATAGAAAGAATCATATATTGGAGAACTTATCAGTTGAGTTGGATGTTACACACTTTGTGCTTTTGTGGATATATCTTTAACTTTTTCAGCAACATAGCCCTGTAGTTGATGATATTTTTTAGGGATGAAATGATTATAGGGTTATTTGCTTCCACTGCTTTGAAAATACACATCCAAACAACTTGAACTCAATCATTAAAACTTACAAGATCATTAAGATAAAATACGTTATAACTAAGAAAAGTAGATGAGTAAAATACAAATTTGGTCCACTGGCAAAATAGTCATTATAAAAATATTAGTAGATAAGTATATGATAGGTTGTGTTTTTCTGACATTTGCCCAACGAAAACTACATTTAGTACTAGATTTAAGTTGTGTTTAATAACAAATAAGTATTTGACCATAATTGACAAGATTACTCGTGAAAATGCTCTAAACTAACTCTAACAGCTTGATACCCATGTTATCGGTACCACCTGTCCTGCCGGAGAGACTTCTGATGATGAAGTAGCACACAAACCGCCACACCGCCGGGAGTTGGTTCTTTTTGAATTTGCCGATTCCTCTCAGTTTCTTTTGATAACCCATCTGGTACAGTGTTGAAATCACATCATTAGGGCTTGGTGAGAAGAACTTTGTTGTAGAGAGAACCCTTAGATTGATTGCTTCCAAGAACTTTGCTTTGGTTAGAACAGCAAGAGAATTATCATCAAGGTTAAGATAGACTTCTTAAAGGTTATGAGATGGTCGGAAAGTAGTGAAGGCACATTTGAACAGGTTTGGCAATGGAACAACTTCTGTGAAGGAGTTGAATGGTCCATATAGTGGGTGTTTTGAGAGAAATTGAATCATTATCCTGATTGCATCATTGTAAGAGGGATGATCGGAAATGATAGCTCTGAAATTGTTCGAGGCAATGGATGACGATTGATCTTTTATTGTGGATTCTAAGCCGGTGGGTCGAGCAGACCCATAGGCTTTCGACTGTTACTTGGAGATGCCTGATTTCACCATGGTTGCAGAAAAGGATTTTTAGCACTTGTAAGAAAATTGTTTGAGCAAGAAGGGGGAAGAAGATGAAGATCGTCTTTAGGGATTTAGAAGGCGTAAATCAATCTTGGGAAGAAAATGGGGGTTTTATACCATCGGATTTCAAATTTTTTTGGAATCAGCTTATCTACAGTTGATAAAGGTAAAAAAACTTTGGGTTTTAACCATTATCAGCCATAAATAAAGTTAATGCAAAAGAAAATGTTTTCCTAGAAAATCAGGGCATTTAATGACTGTTAGACCCATGATCACATGTTTGAAGAATGTGTGGTGAGAGGGGTTTATCCGTTGTGAAAAGCGAGAATTTGAAACGGATTAGGAAGTTTAGAGGCTATGAGACACGATAGATTAGGAAAAAAGATTTGTTAAGAGATTTCGTTTATGGAAAAACGATTTATTTGTTTTATAGCCTAAAATAGATCTGACATAGAAAAGTGATTTTGAAAGAGACTGAAATGCTGTATGCTACAAAAATAATGTTTTAAGAGGAATGTTTTTCTTTTATTTAATAAAGATAATTAAATAGCACACTAAGTTATCAGTGAATTTATGAAGTGATTGTGGGATCATGTATTGTAACTGCGGATGAATTTTGATGACTGCGGTGGAGAGCAGTGTAACTACGGTAGTGGAATCTGAAAGGAACACTTGATAAGAGGTTAGAAATAACATAAATTAAATACCTAAAGAATATATGTATTGCATATGGTTGCGGTATACATAGCATACTGAAACGATATATGATAAATATATTATTCTAGGACCGCAGCAGTGACCAAAAGTGGTATGCAGTACCTATCAATTCAAAAAGAAGTGCGGGTCTAGATTCATAATTCCTAGCATTTCCAAAAAGTTATTCAATATTGTAGCATCAAGTGCCTTTGTAAAAATATCAACAATCTCTTCGTGAGTGGGAACAAAAATTAGTTCGATGTTACCTTTGAAAATATGATCCCTGATGAAGTGGTACCGGAGTTCAATGTGTTTCATCTTCGAGTGGTGAATATGATTGTGATAAATCGCTATAACACTCTTTGAATCACAATAAATCGGTATCTGCAGCATTCTGTATCTGTAATCCATGAGTTGAGTTTATATCCATAGAACTTGGGAACAACAGCTGGTTGCGGCCACATATTCTGCCTCTGCGGTAGACAACGAGATACAATTATACTTCCTTGAAGACCAGCTAAATAGTCTTCCTCCTAGAAATTGACAGCTACCGGAGGTGATTTTTCGGTCTAATCTACATCCGGTATATCCTCGAGCGTCTGGATAGTCCGCTCACTCTGTCCATCAGTTCGAGGGTGGTAAGTTGTACTGAAATGTAGCTGGGTGCCTAAATCCTCATGAAACTTCCTCCAGAACCTAGAGGTGAACCTAACATCACGATCCAAGACCACAAACATCGATGATGAAATACTCGATGTTGAATCTCTTGAACCTCTTGAGTTGAGTGATGAAGAAGATAAAGACTTGGTTGAAAATGTGATTCTAGGACTTCAAGCTATCAAGGAACAACCTGTAAAGGTCCTTTCAGATACAGAAAAGCTGAAATGGTCCTCGGTTATGTGGCCATCATCTTTAGCAGAAACGTTCAGACGAATTATTGCCATGGCAAAAATCAAGACCAGACTAACAGTTGATGCATTCCGAGCTACTCAATACATGCTCCCACCAATTCCTGCTCTGTGGATAGTTCAAACCGATTAAGGTTCTCCTACTCGAATACCTGATAATCTCCTTGAAGAGCCTCTGATTCCTCCATCTAAAATTTTCATCACAGAGTTTGGTCAACAAATCATTTCGTCTTTTTATGGCGAAAGCGAAAATCCACAAGACAATGGCAAACAGATTGCAATAGACCATGACAGCCCATTGAAGACTATAACATCCGGATTCCCAGGTATTCTATGTTATTAATTATTTTTGGGTTAGAAAGATGGACTCGACGAGTTGGCGCTTAGACTCGTCGAGTA